AAAGTTTATTTTTTTAAAGTCTGAGACTCAGAGAGTCCAGGGCTAAAGTCCATAAAATGAATTAAGAACACATAAATTTTTATCATCTGCGACATGACGAATACATTTTAATTTACTCAAGAATGTGTACCCTGATACATTAAATCTAATTCCTGTCTTATTTAATTTCACAACTTTGAAAAGGAATGTATGAATAGCTATGAAATGATGACGAGATGATTTATGTGTTGCTTCCATTTTTTCTGAAATAAATGAATAAATATAATGTTTATAAGTTTTCATATCTTTTATGTTCTTAATAACGAATGGAATAGATCTTTCCACTTCGTCCTCCTTCGGAGCTGTTCTTTCATATGAAACATCAACGGTATCTTCAACAATGAAACCACAATCACATAAAATTTTATATGTACCAATTGTTTCTTTTGATATTTTATCTAACAAATCAAAAACTTTATCAACACCTGTACATTTATTTAAATAATAATTTGTGTAAATATCATGGTCTTCTTTCTTAATCGTATTTGTTGCATATGTCACGTTTTTCAGTGCTTTTTTGAATTTTTCAGAATCAAGAGGAGGTGAAAGTAATATACATGGATAATCTCCATCGTCAATAAATTGTAACTTATGTTTATGAATAAATTTTGTGCCTTCTTCTGAAAGTGTTTCGTCAATATCACCATCTAATAAATTTTTAGTAGATTCCAAAAAGTAATTTTTATATCTTTCCTCATGTGATTTTTGAACTTCTGATTCTGAAGCTGGGATATTCATTAAATCCTCTACTTCATTTTCAGCATTTCTTAATTCTTTAATTTTTTCATCTATTTCATCTCTTAATTGTTCCAATTTCTCAATCTCATCGTTATAATATTCATCTTGTTTAATTTTTTCTTCAAAATATTCAGGAGGTGTTTCAAGGCTCTCTGAGCCCAGGTCCTCTGGACCATAAAGAGGAATATTCTCCTGTTTTTCAACTTTTTTGGGATATAAATATCTCATTATAGCCTTTTTAGTAATTGGTCCGTTATATTTAAATTCATTCAACAATCTAGAAAACTCTTTCACATTCTGCATATATGTTGGATAAGAACCGTCTCCAAAATTTTCTAAAATATTTTCTAATTCTGAATTAGTGAACTTTAAAGATTTCAATGAATTAGTTGTTATACTCATTTATTATAAAATAAAAGATAAAAAATATTTTTGATTAATAAGGAATTAATTTCATTTTATGTCTTATAATGTGCGCATATGTATTTAAAAGGCATTCATTGAATTGCTTTTCAATCTCTTTCTTTTTTTCATCTTCGAATATTATATCATTTTCATGTTCGAAGCTTGTAAGTTTGTTATCTTCAAATATTATATTAGTTTCATATATCAAATTATGATATCGGTCATATTCTTTTAAGTGATAAATAAATACAAAATTTACGGTTCCTTTAATTTTAAATTCAAAATTAATTTTACAACAGCTTTGTGGATCAATTAGTAAATCAATCAAATAATGTTCAAAATCAGATATTATTCTTTTTCCATACATTTTATATTAAATAAAAAATTGACACCATATTTGGAATCTATGCAAAAATATATTCTTTTATTAATGGTAATATAGGAATTGTAGGAATAAAAACTTTTTATAAATTATTCATAAATTTTTAAAATCTGCTATTCAGAAGTATGTTCAAAAATCATTCAATTATGTGAGAATTCTTACGATTACAAAAAATAAATTATTCATAAATGTAAGACATGAATTTTTAAAGTTTATTTTTCATTCATGAAAATAATTATATCTGATTTCTTTTACTCTCTCGTACATACTAGATTTAAAGAATTCAGAACATTTCCCATAATCTCCTAAATTTTTCTTATCTTATTGGTTTTCCATTCATTATATGAAACTGTATAAACTTTATCTTTATCTTTACATCTTTCATCACTTCCAATATATTTATATCTCAGTTTTGATTTATTGGTTTCATATTCATTTAATAATTCACAGTCTTCCTTTTTAAATAAATGTTTCACATATTCAGGATTAACAATTCTATAATATTGCTTCCCTTTAAATCTTTGAATATAAACAGGAACACCATCCTCTAAAATTCGATAATCCACTTTATCTGGTTTCACTTGTTGGGTCATTTATGTAAGAATAAAAAAATAAATTATTTTAAAAATAATGTTAAAAATAATGATACAAAATCGTTCGATATTGTATGAATTCTTACGTTTACAAAAAAAGTCACACAACCCATCATACCCTACTACTATTTATGAATAATTTATAAAAAATTTTTATTCCTACAATTCCTATATTACCATTAATAAAAAGAATATATTTTTGCATAGATTCCAAATATGGTGTCAATTTTTTATTTAATATAAAATGTATGGAAAAAGAATAATATCTGATTTTGAACATTATTTGATTGATTTACTAATTGATCCACAAAGCTGTTGTAAAATTAATTTTGAATTTAAAATTAAAGGAACCGTAAATTTTGTATTTATTTATCACTTAAAAGAATATGACCGATATCATAATTTGATATATGAAACTAATATAATATTTGAAGATAACAAACTTACAAGCTTCGAACATGAAAATGATATAATATTCGAAGATGAAAAAAAGAAAGAGATTGAAAAGCAATTCAATGAATGCCTTTTAAATACATATGCGCACATTATAAGACATAAAATGAAATTAATTCCTTATTAATCAAAAATATTTTTTCATCTTTTATTTTATAATAAATGAGTATAACAACTAATTCATTGAAATCTTTAAAGTTCACTAATTCAGAATTAGAAAATATTTTAGAAAATTTTGGAGACGGTTCTTATCCAACATATATGCAGAATGTGAAAGAGTTTTCTAGATTGTTGAATGAATTTAAATATAACGGACCAATTACTAAAAAGGCTATAATGAGATATTTATATCCCAAAAAAGTTGAAAAAACAAGAGAATATTCCTCTTTATGGTCCAGAGGACCTGGGCTCAGAGAGCCTTGAAACACCTCCTGAATATTTTGAAGAAAAAATTAAACAAGATGAATATTATAACGATGAGATTGAGAAATTGGAACAATTAAGAAATGAAATAGATGAAAAAATTAAGGAATTAAGAAATGTTGAGAATGAAGTAGAGGATTTAATGAATATCCCAGCTTCAGAAAAGAAGTTCAAAAATCACATGAGGAAAGATATAAAAATTACTTTTTGGAATCTACTAAAAATTTATTAGATGGTGATATTGACGAAACACTTTCAGAAGAAGGCACAAATTTATTCATAAACATAAGTTACAATTTATTGACGATGGAGATTATCCATGTATATTACTTTCACCTCCTCTTGATTCTGAAAAAATTCAAAAAAGCACTGAAAACGTGACATATGCAACAAATACGATTAAGAAAGAAGACCATGATATTTACACAAATTATTATTTAAATAAATGTACAGGTGTTGATAAAGTTTTTGATTTGTTAGATAAAATATCAAAAGAAACAATTGGTACATATAAAATTTTATGTGATTGTGGTTTCATTGTTGAAGATACCGTTGATGTTTCATATGAAAGAACAGCACCGAAGGAGGACGAAGTGGAAAGGTCTATACCATTCGTTATTAAGAACATAAAAGATATGAAAACTTATAAACATTATATTTATTCATTTATTTCAGAAAAAATGGAAGCAACACATAAATCATCTCGTCATCATTTCATAGCTATTCATACATTCCTTTTCAAAGTTGTGAAATTAAATAAGACAGGAATTAGATTTAATGTATCAGGGTACACATTCTTGAGTAAATTAAAATGTATTCGTCACGTTGCAGATGATAAAAATTTGTGTGTTCTTAATTCATTTTATGGACTTTAGCCCTGGACTCTCTGAGTCTCAGACTTTAAAAAAATAAACTTTATTTTTATTTTTTAATTTTTATTCTTACATAAATGAACAAAAACGGAACGGCTAAAATGAATGATAATCAAATAAGAGCAGAAGGTAGAAGGTTATTTAAACGCTTCTATAATATTCCTGATGGTGTTAATCCTAAAACTCGTAGAAGCTATTTAAATGAAGCCATAGATGCATATGAAGGATTTGACATTTCATCAGAAAGTGAGAGGTTAGCAAGAATGTTAAACGTTAATATTGATTTCTATTATTGTGATCCTCAACCAGAAGACGTGGACATAAATAAGGTAGACTTTCCATTAGTGGAATCAATAATGATAGATCCAGAATTTGAAACAGTAAATATTTTATTAACACAGAGTCCATGTGGAAAACTTCACGCTGACAGAATAACAGACGTTGAAGCACTCACAGGATATAAAGTTTGCTCCTTTTGCAAAGAAGAAAGTATATTCTATCCGTGATGATCCAGAAAGGAAAAACCAAAGAAGATTTTTAAAACATTGTGAGAAATGTAAAGAAAATAATGGAAGATTAATTCAAGACGTTCAATTGCAAAACACACAACAACCATATGCACCACATATCACGAAACAGAAGATATATCAGTGGCTATTAGCACATAATTTGCAGGAATATTATAAACCAACAAGATATTATATTACTTTTGACTTCGAAACATTAGAGACTAAAGAAGAACTTCTACTTTCTGAATGTGCAACTTTGAACGCTTACTTAAAACCATTTATGGTATCATCAACGGTTAAATTAAACGATAAAACATATACAAGGAATTTTTGCTTAACATCAAGTGATTCGTTCATCTCTGATTGGATTGAATTTTTATTTTCAACCTGTTCATTAGTTGCTAAATCAAATATTGAACAATATGAAGAATTAATGAATACATTAAATGAGAAACAGAAGGAAGCATTTAAAGAACTTCTAGATGAGGAATTCAATAAAGTGAATATCATAGGTTTTAATTCGGGAAAGTTTGATTTAAATTTAATTCTTCGTGATTTAAACACTGCAAAATGGAAAATAAAATCAATGCTGGGTTCATCTTCACAATTTAAGCAAATCATTGTAAAGAAAACAAACGTTCCATATGAATTGAGATTTATTGACATCAGAAATTATATAGCGGGTGGGACATTAGACCAATTCACTCAAGATTTCGGAAACAATAAATCACGTGTTAAATCCTTTTTCCCATATCAATTCATCACATGGGAGAATTACGAAGATGAATTATATAAAAAGGAACCATTCACTCAAGATTCATTTTATTCAGCATTAACCCAAGAAACTATATCAGATAGTGATTATCAAATATATCTCAATGATGCTAAAAATTTTGAGAATAGATTAGAATATTTTATTCATTATTGCAATAAAGACGTTGAAATTATGATTGACCCAATCGATAAAATTATTGAAGAAACATTTGTTTATAAAATTGACATGCTCCATAATCTTTCATTATCATCTAATGCATCAATGATTCGTTACGCTTTAGCATATAAAGACTTTAATCCTAACGAAACATATCCGGAAGAAGAAAATGTGGAATCAAGTTTTGAATTAACGAAAAAGTATTGGAAATATAAAATTGAATCATATAAGAAACAAGATGAAAAGGTGAAAAGAGATACCAAAAATAATGTTTCAATGGATGACTATCAATATTTTCACGATTTAATCCTTTCATCTAAATGTAAAATGTGTGGTAAAGCGTTTACATATGCATATTTATAAACATGATTCATAATCTTTTCATAATTTTCATCGGTTATCTTTTCATAAACGTAATTTTGTAAATCAGCAACTCTTAACGGGTCAACCTGACAAAATACTAAAGTATCCCTGAAAACATAATATTTCAAAATGATTTCACCAAATGATTTGGGATAATCATCGAACGCCTGAAATGCTAACAAATCATTTACCGGAATAATCATATCAAAAGTGATATCAACTTCTTCATTTGCTTTCTTGAAAACTTCTGAAGGGTCAATATATTTACCACATACTGAGTTATCATATTTTTGGACATTGTTATATAATGAATGAACAAACTTTTTAACTTTCCTTTCTGATTTTGGTTTATATGTTGCAAATGCGAAAGATTCACGGGCGCAATCCATTTGAAGATAACCGGCATCACCTCTTTCGGTTTCTACTTCTAATTGTTTAAAGCTTTGATTTGATGATTTGTAACCAACGAATAAACGCATGCATTTAAAAGCGGCATCACATGTGAAAGCTTTATTTGAAACTAGAGTTGCTTTAACTTTGCGTTTAATATATGTGTCACCTAATTGGTTCACATCATGAGCCGGATTTGTAATTCTTAAATGAGTTTGTTTATCATCAAAATATGGAGCATCAGAGTCATAGCATGAACTTTCAAGTTCTCTATAATATCTTCTACCGTCATTCTTTGCGAATATTTCATTTATCTTTTCGAATGAATGAAATACATTTCCATTAATCGGTTTAGTGTTTGGCACTAAATAGTTAGTCGTCATTTATTATTAAATAAAAAATCAAAATTAAAAGATGAAAATGAATTTTTAATTTTAATGAAATAATCAACTATGGCTGCAGGATTCTTTAAAAAGTTATGGGATAAAGTAAAAAGAGGAGCGCATAAAGTTTGGGAAGGAATTAAGAAAGGAGCAAATTGGATATTTAAGAATAAAGAAGCAATTAGTGACGTTGCAGAACAAATAGCACCTAATGTTCCGGTAAGGGAAGTATTAAATAAAGGAGATAAAGTTTATCGTCGACTACAACCGATATTGAGATAAAAATAATATTTATTTTTCCACTACTTTCCTCCTATTTTATTAAGTATTCCTTCAGCAATTCCACCAACTGCGTTACCTGCTTGTGCTCCCATCGCTGGATTACCTGCTTTAGCACCTAATACTCCACCTATGATAGTTCCTGCCGTTTTCGCTACTGGTGCCAAAAAGTTTGCAATGGGTTTAATAATCTTTTGATGAACCCAACTTGCAGCTTTCTTAATTCCTTCCCATAATTTTTTAAAGAATCCTGCCGCCATTTCTGATTTAATATTAATTAAAAAATATATTTCATCACTTATATTCTAATTTTTATTTAATGATAAATGAAACCGATTTTAAAAATAAATGAAACAGAGAAGGAAGAAATAAGTGAAGATGTTCAAAATAAAATAAACATTGTTAAACCCATTACTGAAACAAAAATTTTTTCATCTGTTGAAGAATTTAATGACTATTATGCTAATAATAAAAAATTATTTGAAGAATTGACAACATGTAAATTGAATAAAATGTTTAAAGTTGATGGATTCAAAATTTCAAAAATAAAAGGTGTTGTTAGTTTGAAATCTATTCCTCAATCAAGAATCACCGCATTAATGAAAATTGATGATTTAACAAAAAGAATAGAAATTATTGAAGAAAGAATGAATCAAATAATTGATATCATAAATCATGACTCGTTGAGCCCGGGTCCTTAAAGAGTGCGGGACAAATTTGCCAGGTGTCACTTTTTCAATAACCTTAAATTACGCTTTTCTAATTTTTAAAAAATAACCTTAAATTATATTTGAAGAAATTATGTCTATGATATATGTTTTATGCTAGAATCTTGGAGTTTTCATGCACTACACAAGAGCTCCAAGGTTCCAAGAGTGAATGCTCAATAGCAATTATAGAGAGGTACCTTTTCAAAATGACTTTTACTGATTAAATTTAATCAATAGAAGACATTTTGAAAAGGTACCTCTACAATTAGATATACAAGAGATTCAAAGCTTCATTTCAGATAGATTTGAAACTTTGAAAACTCTTGGTAGATTTTGAGTGAATGCTGACAATCATCTTTGAGAAGGTTTTCTTAAAGAAAACCTTCTCAAAGAGGTTACTCAGGAGCCCTGAGGCTCCCTTTCGTAATGATTGGGAGCCTTGGGGCTCCTGAGACGAAGAATGGCTTCGCCGAATCTTTGATCAGCAGAGGCCAAATGAAAAGGCCTCTGCTGATGGATTCTCAGGAGCCCTGAGGCTCCCTTTCGTAATGATTGGGAGCCTTGGGGCTCCTGAGACGAAGAATGGCTTCGCCGAATCTTTGATCAGCAGAGGCCAAATGAAAAGGCCTCTGCTGATGGATTCTCAGGAGCCCTGAGGCTCCCTTTCGTAATGATTGGGAGCCTTGGGGCTCCTGAGACGAAGAATGGCTTCGCGAATCTTTGATCAGCAGAGGCCAAATGAAAAGGCCTCTGCTGATGGATTCTCAGGAGCCCTGAGGCTCCCTTTCGTAATGATTGGGAGCCTTGGGGCTCCTGCAGCAGAGTATCGCTCCGCTCCATTAAATTTTTTAAAAAAAGTGCCGTGTGGCAAATTTGTCCTGTTCCCCATCTTTATTATTTTTTTTATTCCTTTGAAAAGTGACACTGGATAGTTTGTCCCTTTCTCGGTCCTTAAAGTCCAAGACACAAAAGTGCCCAGGACTTAAAGTCCATCACTGAGTTCAAGGTTATATTCATCAAATATTTCATTATTAAATGCAACTTCTGCTAGTTTATTTATTTTTTCAATACGATCATTTGAAAGTCTATCGTTTAATTTTTTCTGAAGTTTTTCATTTTCTAGTTCTGAAACTTTATTTGGATGATATGTAAATTCATGAAATTCTTTTTCCTCAGTTTTGATCATTAATTTACAAAGAACTTTTGTGGTTGGAATTCGTTTGAACCATTTATCCTTAATATTTGTTATAAATTCAATATCTGGAATTAATTCCCAAATTTTTGCATTTTCAATTAATTTATTATCAAATGCAAAAGCAATGGGTTTAATATTAAACTTACCTTTATAATATAAACTTTCTACATAATCATCGAAATAAACATCTACTTGTTTAACATTTTCAAGAATTGGTGAAAGAGCATCCGTTAATTGATTGACGGTTACGAATCTTGATCCACTCATTTATGTAAGAATAAAAAAATAAATTATTCATAAATGTCAGAAGAAAATATTTAAATAAATTATTTAAATTTTTTTACTCTATTCAAGAATTTTATTTTTGATATAACTCATTGAATTCAAAATTTTTTAAAAAAATTGACACCATATTTGGAATCTATGCAAAAATATATTCTTTTTATTAATGGTAATATAGGAATTGTAGGAATAAAAATTTTTTATAAATTATTCATAAATTTTTAAAATCTGCTATTCGGAAGTATGTTCAAAAATCATTCAATTATGTGAGAATTCTTACGATTACAAAAAATAAATTATTCATAAATGTAAAACATGAATGTTTGCCCCTGTTGTCAAAATGTCATGTTGTCACCATTTTCAAAAAGAAGTTAATTAACCTGGTTACCCGGTTACCCCCTCATTTATGTAAGAATAATAAAATAATTTATTTTAAAATTAATGTTAAAAATAATGATACAAAATCGTTCAATATTGTATGAATTCTTACGTTTACAAAAAAGGTCACACAACCCGCACTCATATACTACTACTTATTTTATAATTTTTTCGTAAAACTTTTATAGATTTCATATTTGTATATATTCATTGACTAAAATAAACAAATTTTCATTATTTAGATTTTTGATTTTCTCATTGTTTGTTTTTCTTTTTATAACTTTTATAAAAAAATCTAGGGTTGTTAAAAATATCAAAAATTAGCGTTTTGAAGACACCATGGTGTCTTATAATTTTCCCTTCCTTATTGGCGTGTAGAAATAAATGCGCCAATAGATTGAAGAAGAAGAATTGTTTTTCTCTTAATGAACTTTAATCCTTTTGATATAAGAATATTAAAAACATTAATATAATTTCGATTTCGGAAATTAAATTTCCAAATTTTTTGTCGATTTCGGAAATAACAGGATCCCGCATCCAACACGCAACAACAAAACACAAAACACACTTTTTGGTTCTTTCATCGTTTTAATCGTAATTTATGTAATACATGATTTGGATAAATTTTACAAAAATAGAACCTATATAAGGGTTTCGTTTTGCTAAAATTGTCACTTTTATAGCATATTTGTTTTTGGATGTTTTGCGAAACCAAAAAAAAACTATGATATACAATGTGTGTGTAAAGAAAATACTTTATTTACTAGTTAAAAAATCATTTGGTATTGATCAAGTTATTTTTTCTGGATAAGATATTATATGGATAATTGGATAGAAAATACAATTATATAATCTTGTACCTGGTTTAATTAAGCTAATTGTCATCAGAAACTTGTAATTTTTATGAATTTCAGATTTTCTTTTCATTACTGCTTTTCTTAATAGGTCAAGTTCTTATTTACGTTATAAAGTATGATATTTACAAATATCAAGTTATCATGTTTTTTGAGAAATTATGAGAAACAAACAAAAATGAAAAAGATAGGAATAGCAATGAATAGTGATGTGGGTATAGAAAATGTAAGAGATATGAATGCAAAGCAATCAGTATTTAGGATATTGACCATAGATTTCGAAAAAAAAATGCTGCATATTGAGCGAAAACTATGATTATATTATAAGGCTGTCATTTAAAGCATAATGAAACTATTCCCTTTTCATTTTAATCGAATAAGATAGTAAAGATTTTTGAATTAGCTAGAAACTGATGAGATGTTTTCACAAATCAGATTTTTAATCTCTATAATGCATAATTCACTCAATATCTCAATTTTGATATTGCGAGATATTTTTGCTATCGGTTTCGCAATTTTGACACAATAG